CTAATATGAGGTTTCCAGCATAAAGAACCATCTATTATAACACCAAGGAAACAAGTGGATTTAACATAGGTAATCAAAAATATTATCAATTTGTATTTTCATTGTAGATTTAAATATATTAGACGTAATACCAAAAAATATATAAATTGCTTTTTTATGCTAAGTGACAATTTATTGGACTTAAACTAAGTGGATAACTTGTCAAGTTCTTCATTAGTGACCTTTATTAAAATTTCTGGGTTTTTATGAGAATAAAACACACTTGCATCATCAGCAAATAAAATTTTTGAAAGTTTCACTGAAACATTGGAGAGGTCATTAACATATAATAAAAACAACAAGGGACCCAAAATGTAACCCTGTGGTAAGCCTCACTGAAGGGGAAGGGGTTGGGATTCTACCCCATTATGGTTTACAGTTTGATACCAGTCTGGAAGATAACTAAACTAAAGGGATTTGTTTCATTAACCATAATGTGAAAGTTTTTTAACAGAATGACATGATTTACAGTATCAAATGCTCTTGAAAGATTCAGGAAAATACCTAATGTTTTCTTTTCTATCTTTTGGTTTATTTTTTTCTATCAACAAATGAACAAGTGCCATGTAAGTTGAGTGATGTTTCCTAAAATTTAGTGTAGTATAGTAGCTGAATRGCATCCCATATGCATACTCAGATCACTACAAACTGTGACATTTCCACTTGAATTTTTGACATGAATTGTTGGCATCAACTTTACTGTCTGTCAGCAAAATGTCTCACAAATCACTCGCCAGACTTTATTAAAAACTCTCAGGAAATAATTATTGAATGGAAAACTGCGACGGATTAACTTTTGGAGTAAAACCACCTCGACATGGCTGCCACAGCTAATCAGACAGTGACAAAAATGGCTATGATTTAGTTTATTTATGAACACTGAGCTTATCTTGGTTTCTGGTCAAGGACCCCCATAGCAAACCCACAAACAATGCTACAACATAGGCCTTTTAAATATTTTTTCTAACTTTTATTCAATAATTATTACATTTGTTTAGCATTGAAATTTTATTAACATGATTTAAACACTGTTTTACAGTATATTCTATACTGTAAGTTTTCAACAAACTGTCGACGATAATAACAGAACAAAAAAATCAGACCTCTTGAGCTCTCTTAAATAGCATTTCAATATATTGTTAGCAATTATATTTACATATTACACATTTGATTTTATGAAAATGATTTAAAATATTTATTAGATTTAATTTTTTAACTTTTGCATTTTTTTCCACTTATATTCCCTCCAGCTTTCTGATCCCAGATTAAAAATTATATTAATAAAAATGGTTTTGTATGGCTTAACTTAAGTGTATGTTTCAATACATATTTTATTTCTGATTTCCTTTGAGTAAACCCCACAAGATAAACCCTCCGAGTCATTTTATTTCCAAAACTGAGCCTTCTTTTTTGTTGTTTTGTAGTATAAAATGCTTAATACTTTTAAATACCTAAACACTTTTGTTTTGTGTTAGTTTTTTTCTTGCAACCACTCCCTACTAAAGGGGTTGTCACTAGTTGCATAAAAGATTTGCCAATTGTTTAACACCAGATGCTCAACCTGGGCTTAAACCTGMAGCCTCAGGATTAAAAGACTGTGGCACTGATCACAGAGGTACAGCCTGATTTGTTTTGAGCTTGAAGTGTTATGCAAATGTAAAAACATGTAATGGCTTGAAATTTAGGACCCAAATGCATGCAAAAATCTCAGTGCAGAAGACACATACAGCCCCTGGCAAAAATGGTGGAATCACTGGCCTCAGAGGATGATCATTCAGTTGTTTAATTTTGTAGAAAAAAAGCAGATCACAGACATGACACAAAACTAAAGTCATTTCAAATGGCAACAATCTGGATTAAGAAACACTGAAAGAAATCAGAAAAAGACACTTTTCTTATCCCATTGAAGGAATTTATTAGTTAGTTAGATACTGATTTAAAGCACCACACCATYTTAAGGCTTGACTTTTATAATCTATTGTTATGTCTTGATTAAAATAGGTTTAGTTACATGCCCGAAACACCTTCACAACACATAATAAACCATTATAAATTCATTAGGAAAGATATTTTCTGTACGAGTTGCCTGCGATTCAGCAGTGGGCCTGAAGTAGGCGTACCAGGCACTGAAGATCCCTGTATTTAAATACCGGAACTTCCTGTTTCAGCCAGCGCTGCTTGCTTGCTTCAGCCGTAAGCAATGAAAGCTTCACTCAGACCAGATCTGGGGTTGTATGGTTCCATTCTCTTCACATTTTAATCTATTTATGTGGTTTTGTCACGATTTCAGTTAACGAACACAAAATATTCTTACACCATCAATTGAAAGGATGTTTGGGGATGATGGAATCGTTTTTCAAGATGATAATGCACCCTGCCATAGAGCAAAAACTGTGAAAACATTACTTGAAAAAAGACACAGAAGGTTAATGTCATGACCTGCAAACAGTCCAGATCTCAATCCAATAAAAAATCTTTGGTGGAAGTTGAAGAAAATGGTCCATGACAAGACTCCAACCTGCAAAGGTTATCTGGCAACAGTCAAAGAAAGTTGGAGCCAGATTGATGAAGAGTGTTTGTCACTCATTAAGYCCATGCCTCAGAGACTGCAAGCTGTTAGAAAAGCARGAGGTAGTTCAAGAAAATACTMGTGATGTGTTGGAGTGTTCTTTTGTTTGTTTTTCATGATTCCATCATTTTTTGCCTCAGAATTGAGTGATTCCATATTTTTTCCCCTCTGCTTGGCCCAAAAAGATAACTGTTACTGACTGTCACAACTTTTTCTTGATTTCTTTTAGTGTTTCTGAAAGCCAGAAAGTCGCCATTTGAAATGACTTTAGTTTTGTGTCATGTCTGTGATCTGATTTTTTTCTACAAAGTTAAACAACTGCATAAGCATCCTCTGAGTCCAGTGAGTCCATCATTATTGTCAGGGCTTGTAGAACCACTCTGCTACAAATTCTACACCACCTGTAAAATGGTCAGCATAAAAAGGCAATAAAGTGAGTGGTGAGTTCTTAAATGCACAAATGTAGTTTATCTGTAGTGAACCCAGAAGACATTTAAACTGATAGGAACTATTTTTCAGTCCTAAAATCTCAAACATAGAGCTGAGATATGATTAAGTTTGCTTTCTCTATTCTCTTCAGTCATCTCCGTTGCTGGGTTCTGTCATTGTATCCTTGGGCAAGACACTTCACCCRCCTTGCCCACTGATGGTGGTCAGAGGGTCCGATGCATSGCAGCCTCGCTTTTGTCAGTGTGCCCCAGGGCAGCTGTGGCTACAATGTRGCTTAMCACCATCAGTATGTGAATGTGAGTGTGAATGGGTGAATGTCTGTMAGTGTAAAGCGCTTTGGGGTCTGGAGGGACTTGATRAAGCRCTCTATAAGTTCAGTCCATTTACCATTTGTTTGAAATGTAGGTGGGAGCTCAGCTCGCGACCATTAATGACRATGATGTAATTCCAAATCTATCCTAGAWGTGAGCTACAACTGTGATTGGYTCACCRTGAGGAACAWAGTGTGGCCAATTCATTTCAAGAAAGAAAAACAGCAACAGCTGATTACAAAGCTATRCTGAACCAAAAGTAACAAGTAATTWAAARCTTCCTAGAAATGTGGTGGAGTAAAAAGTACAATATTTGCCTTTGAAATGTAGTGGAGTGAAAGYACAAAGTACCCCGAAAAAATAATTACTCAAGTAAAGTAAAGATACTCAAAAATTTACTTAATTACAGTACTCGAGTAAATGTACTCCACCACTGTCTCCAGAACATCCTGTTTGGGAGGTGGGGAAAAAACCCTTCAGTTTCTACTGAAACCACATCATGTTCTCCGATAAAGCGAGCTAGTGACTCAGTAATACAAACTATTTTTCACCACAGACAGCTCTGGTGTGTACTCAGCTCTCTCAAGTTACAGTGAGCCAGACACAAAGTTATTTTGAGGTCTAAAATTGTTGCTGTTTGTGTAAACTGGCATTTCTCTCTCACAAACCCCACACCTTGTTTACTTGAAACACATTTGGGTGTCCGAGTTAATCAGAGGCACATTTTCTACAAATGATGATGGTGATAAAAGTTGTTGCTCCTGTACTGGGATTGGTCCAGTGTGCTCTTATAAC